TACGGAGGCATCCAGTCTGCACAGTCAGGCCACTGGTCAAGGCCATGCTTGGTGACATTCTGGTCTTTTTATACTGCTTAGGTGATGTGCTCATTCTCCACTCTACCACCTTCCCTGAAAGGGCCTCTCCTTTTGCATCAACGCTTTGACCCTCTGTTCTTCCTGGACTGAGCTGCCTCCCTGCCAGGGGCCTGCCTTCTCCTGACCCTTCTCCTCAAGAGGTGGCCAGGGGCCCAGCCATGGACACTTTCCTTGAGATGCTGTGTTGTGTTGGCCACTGGACCTTGATCACATTTGGGTATTGTCAGGATTTGCCTTGTTCTTGGAATCCTCATTTTTCCACCAGGTGAGGGCTCGCTCCCTAGAGCATGCGGTCAGGGATCGGTTTGACCACTTGGTGCACAGGGGCAGGTGAAACATGTGGTGGTTTCCAAGTCTTGGCTCTTATTTCCTCAAAAAGAATTTTTTTTTTTTTTTTGCAAAAAGAATTTTGACAAGCTGTCAAATCAGTTGTGCATTTGGAATTCAACATTCAAGTTTTTTTAAAAATAAATAGTTAAAATGTAAATTTACAAAGAATGTAATTTTTGCTGTGTTCTAAACACTGACATTTTGAAATAAGATGGTTAGTCATTCTTGTTAATGTATCCATAAAGCTAAATACCAGAGTGCATCTGATATCCGCTATCAATTATTTAAAAATCCATAAATATGTTCCTTTTTAAATCAGAAATCTCTTGAGGCTCATTTTAGGAACTTGGCTTTGCTCAGAATTTCAGCTGTGGTGATGTTTTTATTCCTAATGTGTCCATTGACCCCCTTATAACATTCTATATACACATGTAAGTTTTAATAAATTGAATACTTAATAATTAAAAATTAAACTTTTTGGTTTTTATGACCATGAGGTCCAATCTACATGATCTACATTTATAGGAGTAAATGATGAGTAATTGAAAAAATTTTTTTTGATAATGTTTTTGAGCAATGGCTGCAGACAAACAAGGGGAGTGGATACCTGCTCCCGCTGTCCTACAGCTGTGACTTGTCCTGGCTATTTGGTCTCTGCGTATGGACACTGGGCTGCCCTTGTCTTCTTGGCTTTTGTCACGGGACATGGAGGCAGCTAGAGAATCAGAGGAGCCCCTGCGCTGAGAAGGTCCTTGCGATTACTGTCTCCAGGAGAAGCTCTCTGTTGCCTTACTCCCAGGCTGTTGCAGTCCTTTCCTATTCACCTGCTGGAAGAAGTTGGCAGCCACACAAATGTGTAACTGAGCGCAGGCTGAGACTTGGAGTGGGAGGGTGCCTGGGAGGTTTTCCTTGCCAGCACACTCCTGAGATGCGTGTGTGCTGGTCTCGCCCAATCTATTGGCCCGTGGCCCTTTGCCTTCCCCAGTGGGTCATGATGCATCTTCAAGTGCTCAGTGACCAAGTGCTTGGAGAAGTGACGTCACAAAAGGACAAGCATAACTTACTCTGCTGCCCCTGGAAACATGCCCAGAGTGGGGACAACTCAAAGAGTCCAGAATGCTTTCTTACACTTACAGAGCTCTGGAAGCCAGTCTCCCTATTTAAGATTTAAGAACCAGAGTGAGAAACTATTCAGGAAGTTGGGACTGGGCCCAGTGAGGAAGGGGACAATTCACCTCTCAGCAGTCTGGTCAAAAGTTGCATCTCTTCCAACACATGGGAATGTGTATACACGCACATGCATGCTCATGGACAAGCACAAGCACAAGCACATGCTGTATGTCCCCTTGCTCTTGGGCTATTTTTATACACTGTAATCGCACAGCACATTTTTTTTTTTGTGTGTGTGTATGTGTGTGTGTGGCTTTTCTCTTGTTTTTCAGAGTCAGCCACATTGTCTTGGTAGTAATTTGTTCATTATAGTTACTGAGCCATACTCTGTTACTTGGACACTCCACAACATATGCTCTCTCCCCACAGATGTTGGGCAATTTCTAGATTTGATGGATTATGAACAGAGATACTGGGGACATGTTTGGTTCAAGTTTCTCATTGCACACATGCACATGCGTTTATTGGGTCTGTATTTATGATGAATTGCTGAGTCATTATACACATGTTAGATTTTACAATTTTCCCAAATGGATGTCCCATAGGACAAACACTACTCACTGGAGACATTTCCTTATCCACAGGTGATTGTGATTATTGTCCAGTTAGGTGTGCAGGCACGTTTTTGTCTCCTTGCCCTTCTTTTCCATTGTTCTTTTCCTCTGTCCTGCAGCAGTGGCAACTTGTCTTAACAAATGCGGTGTCTTCCATAGACTAAGTTTAATCTTGTCTCCTCCTTTTTTCTTCAAGGATACTATCTTGAATACTCTTGGTCTTTCCTATTTCTATACAAATTTTAGAATCAGCTCGCTATACCTTAGGAATCTGGTTAAGATTTGGTTGGTGTCTCAGTTACTCTTTTCTCATTACTGGGACATAATATCTAGCACCCAAAATTAAGGAAGGAAAGGTTCATT